CTTGGGGGTTGTTGGCTGTGCTGGGTCTGGCAGTCAGGACAGACTTCGATGGCCAGGAATTGGAGGCCACACTTGAGCTGTCTGAAGAAGGAACAGGGTTGACCTGTGCTGACCCGGGTTTTCTGAGGCAGGGGAGTAAGTGGGAGCGGGGTGTATGGTGAGGAGTGAAAAGAGGCAGGCGGGTGGGGTGGGGTGGGGGGCTGCAGGGAGCTGCCTCAGGTCTCCTGCCAAAAATTAAACCATTAAAAAAAAAAAAGAAAGAAAGCTGGAGAGGAGTGGCCCAGGAGGCAGAGGACCAAACAGGCCCTCCACACCAATAGCCCGGCAGGGGATGTGAGTAATACTCGGCTGGTTCTGAGGAGTGAGATCAAAAGCAGGGAGATACAAGAGGTTTGTGCTTCGCCGACCAGACAGCCAGAGGCTCAATGAGACCTTTGTTAACCCAGGCCCAAGTCGGAATTGAAGGAATACCTGACTGCCCGCCCACTGCCCGCCCGCCCCCGCCAGTCGGCTAGGGGGAGAGGCGGGTCACCAGGGAGTCAAGGCAAGTTGGGCCCAGCTAGGCCTGGCCAAGAGTGGGTGGAGGAGGGAGGAGGCCTGGGCCAGGCCCGGAGCGTGGAGTGAGCCGAGGAGTGAGTGAGTAGCTGCCTGGGAGGCCGGAAGTGGCTCTTCTGGAATTATAAAGGGAACTGTGGGGGCCCACCCGGTGAACCTGCCATCCCAGCCCCTGGCCACTGTTCCTTGGAGGGGACTGTGGGCATTTGGCCCGGAGCATACAGCTTCCTGTCGGTCTCAGGGCTGGGGTTCTAGGGATCAGTCGAAAGGATTGAGATGAGAGGCTACCGAGCTGAGGGCTGGTGACTTCAGGTGTGAGGCTGGGTGACGCTTCATTAAGGTAGGCTGAGTTTGGTGTGCGTGTGTGTGTTTGTGTGTGTGTGTTTGTGTGTGTGTGTGTGTGTGTGTGTGTGTTGGTGGTGGTGCATGCTGGGAGTTCAGTTAAGAGGACTGCTTCACCATGCCTCCTGCAGAGTGCGTGTGTGTGTGTGTGTGTGTGTGTGTGTGTGTGTGTGTGTGTGTGTGTGTGTTGGTAGTGGTGCATGCTGGGAGTTCAGTTAAGAGGACTGCTTCACCATGTCTCCTGCAGATAGCTATCCCAGCTTGCTCGCCCCCGCACAGGTTGGGGTTGGGGCTAAAGGAGGGTGCAAGCTACTTCTTGAAAGAGTCAGGTTCTGATCTGGGCCGGCCTCCCCCCCCATTGGGAGAAGTTCAGACTGAGTCTGGAGGTCTGAGTCCCCTGAGGCCTTCCTGGTTTTGGATGAGAAGGCGCCTTTGGGGGCCCACGCTTTCATGGCAGATGCCTACCGCTGACCCATAGTGGGAGAGAGAAGAGGAAATTAACTTGTATTTAGGACGACACACTTTCCCCAGGGTCCCCAGACCCCTCCCTCCAACTCACCGGATGGATTGCTCAGAGCTGGCTGCCCTCCGCTGATGGGGATTTCGGCCCAGACCTTTCCTCACCTGTCAGTCTAGAGCAGCAGTTCTCAACCTGTGGGTCTCGACCCCTTTGGGGAGGTTGCATATCAGATACTTAAATTACGGTTCATGACTAGCAGAGTTTCGGTTATAAAGTGGCAGCAAAATAGTTTTATGGCTGGTGGGGGTTCACCACGGTATGAGGAACTGTATTAAAGGGTCGCAGCGTTAGGAAGGTTGAGAACCCCTGGTTTAGGAGAATGGTACAAGTCCCTGTACCAGTTTGGGAAACATGAGACACCCCCAAACGGGGGAGGGGAGCGCAACCCTTGCTCCTCCTCTAAACGAAGCACACTGCTGTACTGGAAAGGGTTAATTAAGCCTGACCAAAAAAAGAAAAAAAAAAAAAAGGAGCCCACTATGGGGCCTGGACATCTTGAAAAGACTGCCCTTATTTGCGAGGGGAGAGGGTAGTTAGGGACCTGGGAAGGGGCTGGATGCTAATTAGGGGAATCTGAGGAGGTCCTTTATGGCCAGGAAGCCGCACCTCCCCATACCCACCACGAGGGCCATTGTGTGGGGCCTTTGAAGGGCTACCCTGGAAACTCATTACTGCCGTAGCTTTAGTATTCTTGGGGCCCACCAGGTGGTGGGGGGTGGTGAGGGAACGCCGTGGTGGGGGTGGGGAGGAGGGAGGTGTGAGATCCCCCAGTTTCCTGCTCTTTGAGATTGCCGCCGCCGCCGCCGCCGGACCCCTCGGCTCTGCTGTGGCCTATGGCTTTTCATTCCTATGTGATTGCTGTTCCGAACTCATGTAGGGCTAAAAGCCATGGGCTACAGTGAGGGGCAAGCTCCTCCTACACCACCGCACTCCCTAAGGACCGGCCCCAGGGGGCCCCAGAGCGGGGAGCGGTCGGCACACTAGTAACTCTGGATTTGGGGCTAGGCTGTGTGACCTTGGCCACGTCACTTCCCCTCCTGAGTCCGGTCCCTTCGTTCAGAAGGGTTAGGCCCGGGGAAGAAGCGTCACGTGGCGCGAACGCCTTACTGAGGAGTCAGTTCCCTCTTATGGAGCTACGGAGGCCTGGGTTAGTGGAGATCGGGGGATGCCTTCAGCCTTAAGGTCTCGGGCCTGTTCCTCCGTCCATCTATGCTCTGCTTTGTAGTCTTGGTCTTTTATTTCTCCTCCAGCTTGACATCCTGAGCTGCTCTGTCCCGACGCTTAGGGGTCTTTTGAGGCTGAAATGGGAGCATTCGGGCCAGCTACGCTGCTGCTGCTGCTGCTGGTGGTGGTGGTGGTGGTGATAGCATGTTGCAGAATAAACCTGGGAAGGCCATAGCTCCCCAGGGTACCACGCTGGAACCCTGAGTCCCTAGCTTCTGGTCCTTCCCTTGCCCCTTTGCTGGGCTCCTAGAGGGCAACGCCTTCCCCACTTCCTCCACCAACCTGGTTCTATTCGCACTCTGAAAACTTCCTGAGTCCATCCGGGCCATCCTGGGGAACCACAGAGATGGGAATGAAGCGGGGCAGTCTGGCTGGAATGAGGAGGGAATCACCCCTCCTCCTACAATGGGCTCCCCATTCCAGTCTAACATGGACTGCTGAAGCATGTTCAGAATCAGAAGGCCGGTTACTTAACCTTGTCTTATTTAGAGCCTCCCATTCCCCAACTAGCATTTACCAAGTGCCTAGTTACCACAGTTCTAGCCGACTTACCTATATTAACCTGTTTGGTCTCCAAGACAGCCCTGTTTATTATTAGCCCATTTTATTGACGGGAAATCTAAAGGCTAAGGGAGCTGGAAAACTGGCCCAGGGCATGTGGCTAGTAAGGAACCGAGATGGGAATTGAACCCAGATTGTCGGGTGCCAAGAACCTTGCTTGATCTTACCCCCTGCTGGAGCTTTGTGGGAGTCAAACCAGTACCAAGCACGCTATCACTTCATTCCTGGCGGTCTCTAGGGGATGCATGGCCCTAAATTTCACTCCGTTCTCTTACTCTTGAGCAATCACTGACTTCCTTTATTCAGAGTGGGCAGAGGACTAAATCAGAGCAACAGAGGGAAAGCGAAAGCCCACACCAGCTGGAGTTCTGCTGTGCCTCAATCAAGCTCCTTGCCCTCTTGGCTAGGCTTAGCGGAAGGACTCAGGGGTGATGGCTAGCCGGAGCCAGTCCCCTCCCGGAGTCGCTGACCAGACGCCTGAGTTGGCCTGGCGTTTTGTTCAGCTCTAGGAACCTCCTCACTGGAAAGTTTGAGCAGAACAGTCAGCTCCCCGCTGCCCTCTGCCTCTGGGCCTGTCTCACGAACCCCCTTTTCTAGTTTGCCCAGGAAGACCCCAGCACCCAGGTAGGGGGCAAGTGAATAGCTTCAAAGAGTTTCCCTCTTGTGAAGCAAGGCACATAGTAGGACTGTACAATAAATATTAATGGAAGGAATGGTGAGCTGGGGAAAAGGTGAGAGATGGCCCCCTGTAGCCTGGGGCTGGGGGATGGGCGCTGCCCTGGGATCACAACCTTGTCCTCCTTTGCTTGCAGCCTTGGTGCCCAGCCACTATGGGTGGGGCTGGCTTGGAGAAGATCTGCAATGGCGTATCTCCGTAATTGTTGAGATCCTCTGAATAGGCAAGCTGGCCTCGTGCCCTCTTTCCCTGAGGATTCACAGAGCAGCCCTGCGTCTGTCCTGCCCCTGCCTGCAGACAGCCGAAACCCAAAATATCCTAACTGAGCAATCTAAGTCTCCGAGACAGTCATCAGCTCGACCCAGCATGAGGCTTCCCTAGGGAGACAGGTCCATGTTTAACTACACTGAGACAGGTCCATTTCTCTGGTGGTATTTGTCTGTGTCTGGTGGAAATGGAGCTTGATTGCTAAGCTTCACTTCTAAATGCAAAGGAGATCGGCACGACTGCTGCTTCCCTCTTTCTAGGGGACAACACCTTCTGGTGGGAGTCGTCTGCCTCAGGTGCCTGGCTCCGCCCTGCCGGGAGTCAGGGGTAAGCTGCGGAGCCCCTTCCACAGGGTGCAAAGACATTATTACAGAGTATTGCCTCTCTCACTCTGGCTCCCAGCTACTGTTCACTCCAAGTCCGTCAGGACCACTCTTAAGTCCTTTGCTGTCCTTGTAGTCCTGAGGAGGGGCTTTCCCTCTTTTTCTGTAGGTAGACAATCAAGGCACTTGGGGGTGGGGGAGGCACTGCGGCCTCTACAGGCCGTGGAAGGCAGAGAGGCTTCCAGGTCCACGGAGTTCCTTCCCTAACAGCCCAAGAAGGGGTTAACTTCCAAGGAGAACACAGACTTCTCCAGACGAGTGCCCTGTGCCCAGCTTGGCGGATGGCAGCCCCGGGAAGAGGCCCTGGGATCTGTAGTTTGTGCTCCCACCCACCCCGGGTCTGCCTGTTTATCAACACTGCAGCGCAGACTACAGTTCCCAGAAACCTGGAGGCCAGGCTTTGGGGGGAAGGGGTGGGTGTGAAGCTGGGAGATGGCTGGGGAGGGGAGAGGAGAGGGAGGAGGTGGGAGAAAACCCAGTTCACCCCCTTCCTTTTGAATTCTTTCTGGTGTGTCTGCTGCTCCGCCCGAGCTAATCCCCAAATCCGGTCTCCTAAGCCGCAGCTGCTTCCCTTTGCAGGGATGAACGGCTCTGGGAGGGAAGGTGAATTCATATTTTAATTACTGAGGCTCGGGTGCGGAGGGCACAGGGGAGGGGTGGAGGGTTCGGCATTGTCTCCCCGGGGCTTAGGGCACCCCTCCTCACTGAGTCACTTCTGCTGGTTACCTGGGGTGGGTCTTGCTGGAAATGCCTCTTCTCCTGCCTCAGGAGGGTTTGGGATGGAAGAAACAATTGTCAGAGATTCCTGGCTTGTCCCAACACTCAAGTCTCATATACCCCCCTTACCGCCCACTTTGGTGGAGGGCATTGCCAACATTCGAGAGACACTGAAGAATTTTAATTCTGCCAGCCTGAAGCCCCGGCTTCCTCCCTCCTCGTTTTAGAAGTGTTTTCTTGCCCCTTGGTTCCTGCACATGTTCAGATTGTCCCCTTGAGGTGGGAGGGTCCGAGGAGAGTGGGGTCAGACAGAGAATGTGGTGTGAGGTCAAAGGCAGGCAGGGATGAGTCGTGAGGCTGGGAGGGGGGTGTCTATCGTTGGCTGGGAAGGAAGGGTGATCTGTGACTTGGCATCTCTTCTGTTTGGCTCCCAGGAAGCAGGCTTGGCAGAGGGACATCTTGGTCATTAGACCCCAGACCATTCTAAACTGGGCTAAAAAAGAGCCAGGTGGAGCTGAGGGGGGGGTGGGGACAGGAGCATTGGCCAGTGTCAGCCCCCCTTTTCATTTTGGAGTTTTCGATGGCCGTTTGTCCATTGCTTACCCACTCTTGAACGGTGGCTTGGGTGAGGACGGGGTGGGGGTGGGGTTCCCACCGGAGCATAGATGAAGAGGGGTATTCCAGGATCTATAGGACCCAGTCGGTGGGGGATCATGGGATCTGACATCTCCAGGAGGCCTCCAGCCCGTGTTGAAAGTAAAGCTTAACTACCAAGTGTGGAGGATGCAGGCAGGGAAGGGCGTGCATGCCTGCCAGGGCAGAACACGGGTGCAGAGATTTGGCAGTGGGGCTCTCAGGGCCCCTGCTGGTGGGACCTGGGGGGGGGGGCTGGAATGAAGCCACAACACTCAGACACACCGATTGGAATTCTCTGCCCCATGCATCACCCACTTTGGGGACTAAGTCCAGTGGCCTTCGTGCCCGGGCTTCCAGGGTTATACCCCTGTTTGAGACTCCTAGCAAGGATGAGAAGGAGAAGCTGGAGGACTTGAGGGCCAATATTTGGGCAGAGTAGCCTGGCTCTCTGCCTTGATCTCGCTGCCTTTGGGAGCAAAGAACCCAGGAGTCCCACTGAGCGGCCGTATCGCAGCTCAGCTCCTGGGGGGCTCTCTCCCTGTGCCCCATAAACCCTTGTTCCTCCTACACCTGCCCCGACTTTCTCCACGGGGGGTGGGTGGGGGTGGGTGGGTAAAAACTAGTGTTTTCATCATCCCCTAAGGACTCTGGACAAGAACAGAACAGGCATTAAAGGGGAAGAGGAAAGAGGGTCCTGGTGTCCTGGGACTGAGAGACTCTAGACCGGCTGTGGGGCGGGGGTGACACGCAGTTTCAAGAGCGGGTTTCCTCCTCAGGCATCCATGTGGTGTGTGTCCATTGCTGTTTTTTTTGTTGTTGTTGTTGTTGTTCTGATGACTTAAGAGGGCTTTCTGGATAATACCCTTCACCTGCACCCCAGCATGGAGTGTGTGCATTAGTTACCGATGACAAGGGACCCCACTGGCTCTCTCCCTCCCCTCCAGATCGAGGTAGGACTCCCAGGGCCCCACGTATTCCCTCAGGTTTGGGCTGTAAATGTCAAGCCTTGACTAGCCTCCCGGTATTCAGGAAAAAAAAAAAAAAGGACTGGAGGCCCAGAGAGGTCTATGCCCACCTCAGCGTCAAGAATAGGACCTTGCGTGGACGGCCCCCACCCCTGCTTTGTCATGAGGGGGATCCAGAGATTGCCGCAGTCGGTAGATCTAGAAATATAGTAGTTGTGTCTCGGTTCTGTCTATATATATCCGAGAGACTTCTCTGCTCACTATATATACTCCGCCAGAGTGGGTGTGTAAGTGGTGCTGGAAAGCAGGTTATTAAATAGCAGGCTGCCTCCCTACCCGTGCTGACTCAAGCTGGGCCTCCTGCCCATCCAGCTGGTCACTGGAAATGCAGTATCCCTATTAATTACAGCGGTTGGATGTATTACCCGGGACTGGGGGTGGATCCTGACCGGACCAGCTCCACAGCAGACATTCTGCTGTGCAGGACAAGCACGTTGGAAGTCTGTCCTGAAGGAGTTCCCCAGGAACTGTCCAGACCGTCACCACAAGGGTCGGGACTGGTTGGTTCCTCAAGAGACCGGAAAGCCACTCCACAGGTGTGCCTTGAGCGAGCAGGGTACCAACTGTGCCATCTCTGCAGGAGATGAGGGGGAGGCCGGTGCCTTGAGCTTCCGCATTCCAAACGCTGTGTCCTCCTTCCTGCCCTCACTGGGTTTTGCTCTCCGGCTTTCTCCCGGTGTTCTTCCTAGGGAGAGAAGCCGTTCCCAGCAGGCCTGTGGTGCCGGCCTGACCTCTGGGTAGGGTGCCTACCTTCCTGGTCCAAGCTGACTGGAAGGCATCTCTTTCCCCCTCACAGCAGGATTGTTTAGGGACAGGATGGGCAGAGACGTGAAAGGGGGGGGGGAGGAGAGGGGGGACGACGACCATGCCGATGAGTAACACAAGGAGAACTGAAATGAGTGGATAAAGAGTAGGCTTCCCCAGCCTGAGCCCATAGCCCCGGCCAGACTCCTGTGTTCCACCTCAGGCCTTCCCCAGCCTCCACCTTCACCTCAGACTGACCCTTTTACCCGGGGAAGGGAAGGTAGGCCACCCTCCCGGCCCTTTGTGCGGTGCAGGAACTAAATGCAATGCCTGTTAGCTGGAGGCCCCCCTCCTCCTCACTGTCTGCATCCCACACTGACCAGGACAGCATCAGAGGGATTGCGTGCTGCCTCCTGTCCCCTGTAGGGGTCTCTAAGAGTTTCGGAAAACTTGGGGTTGTTAGGGGAGGACAGAATCTGAGACTCCATTCTAGATCTGTAAGTAGAGGCTTCTTCAGCCTGTAGACTCCCGCGCCTGGAGTGTTGGATGTGTGATCTCAAGAAGCCAGTGGACATCCCACCCCCCACCCCCACATGTGATATTGGAACCTGCATGAAATGGCATGTCCAGAGACTGTTTTAAGCCTGCTTGCTTCCTGTTCCCCAGCTGCCGCTGTGTGGGGATGAGGTGAGGCGGAAGGCCAGGCACAACACAGGTAGCAGCTGGCTGGCCTTCCTGGTTTGCTTTTTTTTCTTTTCTTTTTTCTTTTTTGTTTTTTTTTTTTTTTTTTGAGACAAGGGCAAAGAACTTTATTTTCCTATAAGTTTCTTCATATCTAAAACAATGTTTAGTGTATAAACTGCTTTCTCTTGCTTTCCTAA